CTATGTTTCTCTCTCACATGGATGTCTCTCTCTCTCAATCTTCTTTTCTCTCTAGAATCAATAAGCACATCCTCTGTTGAGGATTAAGAAAAATTATGCAAATTTCAGGCGCACTGTTCCACAACACATCATTTGTACACTGCATTGTGTGATCACCACTCCAAGTCACATTTCTGTGCATACACTTTCAAATAGCCCTATACTGCTTCATGCATAATTCAGGTACTTTATAGTGGATTATTCTTAATTCACACATTTCATATATTACAATACTGGTATTATTCATGTCACTTATCTGTACTTTTTAATAACCTCATTTATTGTTACTATCACTATTTTAAATGAAACATTATGTTTCCAATTAATCAAGAATAAGAAAAATAAAATACTTTATTTTCATTCATTTTTTTATCTTTTGACATATTTGTGTTTATCAGAGTTCCTGACATATATTCTTAATTCCTAAAGAAATTTTTATAACATTTGTTGCAATATAGGGCTTCTAGTAAAGTATTCTCTGTTGTTATGTATCTGATGAAGATTTTATCTTTCCACCTTAGAAGAATAATTTCCCAGGATATAGAATTTTGAGTTTATGGTTTACTCTTTCAATACGGTAAATATTTCACTTCACTTTATTCTTGCTTTCATGGCTTGTCATGAGAAGTAAGCTATAATTTTATTCTTTGTTTCTCTATAGGTAAATTGTTTCACTTAATCTATGTCTTATTTCAGCATTTCTTCTTTGTGTTTGATTTTCTGCAGTTTGAGTTTCTGTGGTAGATACACAAGAGAAATAACATATTCACACAAAAACTCATACACAAGTGCAAACAGCAGCATAACTGATAGTAGCCCAAAAGCCACAAGAACACATTAACTTATATATTGGGGAAAATGGCATTGTCACATAACTGAATGTTATTTGATGATAATCAAGATGAAGCAGTAATTCAAGGGACTACATAGATGAATCTTGAAGACATGCTATGTAAAAAAAGGTAGTCATGACAGACTACATATTATATGATCTCATTTACATGACATATCCAGTTAAGTCAAATGCATAGAGACAGAAAGTAGACTAGTAACTGCCTAGAAATGTGGAGATGGAGGAATGGAAAGTTAACGCTAACAGGTGCAGGGATTCCATTTGAGTTGACAACAATTTTTCCTAAGTTAGTGGTGATAGGTACACAACTCTATGTACATACTAAAAACCATATAATTTGTACACTTCAAATAAGTGGATTTAATGGTCTATAAATAATTTATCAATAAATATATTAGGTAAAAAAATACATTTGCAGAAGTCATTTAGTACCATTTAAACATAATTTTAAAATTTACTTGTTTTAATTTAATTTCATTTACTTCGTGGTAAAATAAAAGGAAAAATCAGAAAGCAAATATATAGCTTAATATATTATTATAATACAAATATTTTTAATCAATACTATGCCAAGAAATAAAATTTTGTCTAATGCACAAAATACCCATTTTGTATCCCATCTTAATCATAGCCTTCCAACTGTAACTACTTACTTAAATTTTACATTCATCACTTACTTGGATGATTATTATTATTCACATACACACAGCACATTGATGGATGGATGTTAAAGGTAAAAAAAGCCAACTGTAAGAGCTCCCAATGGCCAAAGCTAGACTCATTTAAATGACAAAATGAGTAAAATATTATTAGATTATATTTTTATTAAAATACACATCTATGAGCCCTAATATAAAAAAATGAGTAATTAAATGCTGATGAATAGACAAATATGTGCAGAACAATATCAATTTATGTAGATATTACACATTCTTTGAGGCAAAAATATAACTCCTCACTTCTTAAATATGGACTGTACATAGTGACTTCTTCCCAAAGAATGTGGTATGACAAGGAAGGGAGGGAAAGAGTAGCTGGGAGTGTAGAAATCTGACAAACACTACCACAGCCAATTGATTAAGGTCAACATAACCTTAATAGTTATGGTGATAGTATGCTCTCTTGATATTATAAAAGGGCAATGATGTTATACTTCTGTGGTCTTCTTCTAAAAATCACTAAACTCTATCTAATAATGAGAAAAATATCACACCGGTACAATTCATAAACATTCCACAAAACATCTAACAAGTACTCCTCAAAATTACTAAAGTTATCAAAAACAAGTCAGAGAAACTGTCACAGCCAAGATGAGCTTAAGAAAATGAGGCAGTAAAATCTAATGTTGAGTGATCCAAGATGGTGGGGGAGTAATTGGAAGCTGCATTAATCTCCTCCCAGGGCCAATCTGGAATTACAACTAAATGGTTGAGAAATCATCCTGAATTACCAACTGAACGCTAGCTAGGGAGAAGCTCTATAACCACGGATGGGCCAAAGAAACTACTTCACCATAAAAAGACTGGTAGGGAGTAAGAGGGAGGTGAAAGAGTGCTAGTTGGGCTCCCATTGGTGGCAGCTGTTGTTCTCAAGGGATAATTCAGCTGCTGGGGGGGATTCCCCTGGAAGAGTGTGGGGTCTAAACTCCAAACTGGGCTTCTTAACCTATAGCACCAGAGCCAGAAAGGAACCCAGATAACAGCCAGTTTGAAAAGCAGCAGGGTTTCTATGTGCCAGGGAGAAACAACTAAAGAAGCAAAGAGATTCTTAAAGAGCCAATGCTCAAAATCTTGTTTGTGGCCACTTACCCTGGGTTTCAGCAGCGGGAGGGCAGAGTGGACTAGAGACACTTGAGGAGAGTCTGGAGTTAGTGCTCTGGGGAAAGAACTGAAGGAACAGATGCCAGGATTCTTGTGCTGAACCATTCTCTATACTGCAAAGCCATATTTTTCAGGCAAAGCACTCCCCTAAAGTGGAATCAGCCTGAGGGGAAGCAATAACCCCACCTGCAGGAATTACTCTGCCCCACCCTGTGGAGCTTAGGCCAGGCTGCTGATTACAGCCTAATTAGCATAACTACTGATTAGCTTGACAACTGATTAGTTAAACAACTAAGGTGGAAAATACAAAAAAAAAAAAAAAAAAATCAGTCAAAATGGGAAGACAAAGAAACTGACCCCAAATGAAAGAACAAGAGAATTGTCCAGAAGAAGAACTAGATGAAATGGAAGCATTCAATTTATCAGGTAGTTTAGTGTAATGATTATAAGGATATTCAGCAGCATGTAAAAAACAAAACAAAACACAACAGAGAAACCATAAAAAAGGACCAGTCAGAAATAAGGAATACAATATCTGAATAAGTAATACACTGGAAGGAATAAAGAGTAGGTTAGCTGAATCAAGATTGAATCAATGATTTGAAAAACAAGGTAGAAAAAAAAAACACATAGGCAGAGCAGCAACAAAAAAGAAAATGAGGAGAGGTTAAGAAATATTTTAGGCAACATGAAGCATAATAACATCCATATCATGGGAATACCAGAAGGTGAAGAGAGTGAGCAAGGGATCAAAAACCTATTTGAAGAAATAATTACCAAAAACTTCACCCTAATCTGGTGAAGGAAAGACAAACAAGCCTGGGAAGCTCAGAGAATCCCAAACAAGTCAAACCCAGAGATGCCTACACCAAGATACATAATTAAAATGACAAGGTGACAATCCAAAAAGCTGCAAGAAGAAAGCAGATAGTCACCCACAAGAGAGCACCAAATAGACTGTTATCTGATTACTCAACAGAAACATTTCAGGCCAAAAGGGAGTGGTATGAAATATTCAAGGTGATGAAAAACAAAGACCTGCAACCAAGGCTGCTTTACCCAGCAAGGCTATCATTCAAAATCAAAGGAGAAATAAGGAGCTTTTCAGACAAAAAAAACCTAAAGGAGTTTGTTAACACAAAACCAGTATTGCAACAAATGTTAAAGGGCTTGTTTTAAGAAGAAGAAAAAGAGAAGAGAACAAGGAAAAAAAAGAGGAAAACAGTATAAAAATAAAATGGCACTACACACATACCTATCTATAATCAACTTAAATGTAAATGGCTTAAATGCTCTCTCCAAGAGACAAAGGGCAGCAGAATGGATAAGAAAATAAGACCCATGTATATACTGCCTTCAGAGACCCATTTCAGATTGAAAAATACACACAGACTAAAAGCAAAGGGACGGAAAAAGATATTTCATTCAAATGGAAAAGAAAAAGAAACTGCCAATACTTATAACCAGCAAAACAGACTTTAAGGCTATAGTAAAAGACAAGGTAGAATGATAAAGAGAACAATCCAACAAGAAGATAAAACCCTAGTAAACATTTAGGCACTCAACATAAGAGAACCTACATACGTGAAATAAATCTTGATGGACATAAAGGGAGAGATCGACAAAAATGAAGTCATAGTCAGGATTTTTTACACCCCATTAACTTCAATCGATAGATCTTACAGGCAGAAAATAACCAAGGAGATAGCGGCCTTAAATGATACACTAGATCAAATGGATTTAATTGATATATTCAGAGCATTTCACCCCAAAGCTGAAGAATATACATACTTTTCAAGTGCACATGGAACATTTTCTAGGATAGACCACATATTAGGACACAAACAAATCTCAATAAATTTATGAAGATTGAAATCACATCAAGTATCTTCTCTGGCCACAATGCTAAGAAACTAGAAATCAATCACAAGAACACAGAAAAACACACAAAGGCTTGGATGCTAAAAAACTTTATAAAAGTGAATAACAAGATCAAGGTCAAAAACAAGGTCAAAGTAGAAATCAAAAGATACTTTGAAACAACTGAAAATGAGGCCACAACAGTCCAAATCTGTGGGACACTGGGAAAGCAATCCTATGAGGAAAATTCATAGCATTATAGTCCTATCTCCAAAAAGCAAGAAAAAGTTTAAGTAAACAATATAACTTCACAGTTAAAAGAACTTGAAAAAGAACAACAAAGCCCAAAGTAAGTAGAAGGAAGGAAATAATAAAGATCAGAGAATAAATAAATGAATTAAAGTCCTAAAAATGATATTAAAAAAATCAATGACAAAGCAAAGTGGGGGATTGAGAAACAACTACTTGAACATAGTAAAAATGTAAATACGGAAAAGCTGAGAGTCCCTGTTATTTGTGTACTTGGACATGTGGACACAGGGAAGAAAAAAATTCTAGATAAGCTCCATCACACGCATGTACAAGACGGTGAAGCAGGAGGTATCACACAGCAAATTGGTGCCACCAATGTTCCCCTTGAAGCTATTAATGAGCAGACTAAGATGATTAAAAATTTTGACAGAGAGAACGTACGAATTCCAGGAATGCTGATTATTGACACTCCCTGGCATGAGTCCTTCAGTAATCTGAGAAACAGAGGAAGCTCTCTTTGTGATATTGCCATTTTAGTTGTTGATATTATGCATGGTTTGGAGCCCTAGACAATTGAATCTATCAACCTTCTAAAATCCAAAAAATGTCCCTTTGTTGTTGCACTTAATAAGATTGATAGGCTGTATGATTGGAAAAAAAGTCCCGACTCTGATGTGCCTGTCACTTTAAAGAAGCAGAAAAAGAATACAAAAGATGAATTTGAAGAGTGAGCAAAGGCTATTATAGTGGAATTTGCACAGCAGGGTTTGAATGAGGCTTTGTTTTATGAGAATAAAGATCCCCGCGCTTTTGTGTCTTTGGTACCTACCTCTGCATATACTGGTGATAGAATGGGAAGTCTCATCTGCCTTCTCATTGAGCTAACTCAGACCATGTTGAGCAAGAGACTTGCACACTGTGAAGAGCTGAGAGCTCAGGTGATGGAGGTGAAGGCTCTCCCAGGAATAGGCACCACTATAAATGTAATATTGATCAATGGGCATTTGAAGAAAGGAGATACAATTATTGTTCCTGGAGTAGAAGGGCCTATTGTAACTCAGATCCGAGGCCTCCTGTTACCACCCCCTATGAAGGAGTTAAGAGTGAAGAACCAGTATGAAAAGCATAAAGAAGTAGAAGCAGCTCAGGGGGTAAAGATTCTTGGAAAGGACCTGGAGAAAACATTGGCTGGTTTACCCCTGTTGGTAGTTTACAAGGAAGATGAAATTCTGGTGCTTAAAGATGAATTGATTCATGAGTTAAAGCAGACACTAAATGCTATTAAATTAGAAGAAAAAGGAGTCTATGTCCAGGCATCTACACTGGGCTCTTTGGAAGCTCCACTGGAATTTCTAAGAACGTCAGAGGTGCCCTATGCAGGAATTAACATCGGTCCAGTCCATAAAAAGGACGTTACGAAGGCTTCAGTGATGTTGGAACATGATCCTCAGTATGCAGTGATTTTGGCCTTTGATGTGAGAATTGAACCGGATGCGCAAGAAATGGCTGATAGTTTAGGAGTTAGAATTTTTAGTGCAGAAATTATTTATCATTTGTTTAAGGCCTTTACAAAATATAGACAAGACTACAAGAAACAGAAACAAGAAGAATTTAAGCACATAGCAATATTTCCCTGCAAGATGAAAATCCTTCCTCAGTATATTTTCAATTCTCGAGATCCAATAGTGATTGGTGTGACTGTGGAAGCAGGTCAAGTAAAACAGGGGACCCCCATGTGCATCCCTAGCAAAAATTTTGTTGACATTGGAATAGTAACAAGTATTGAAATAAACAATAAACAAGTGGATGTTGCAAAAAAGGGACAAGAAGTCTGTGTCAAAATAGAACCTATCCCTGGTGAATCTCCGAAAATGTATGGAAGACATTTTGAAGCTACAGACATTCTTGTCAGTAAGATCAGCCGGCAGTCCATCGACGCTCTCAAAGACAGGTTCAGAGAAGAAATGCAGAAGAGTGACTGGCAGCTTATTGGGGAGCTGAAGAAAGTCTTCGAAATCATCTAGTTTTTCCACATGGGGCAAGAATTAGAGTAATGCAAGAAAAACAAGATTAAAAAATGGAATGGACGTATATGGACACTGATGCACTTAAAGATGGAAGGAAAAAAATAGATGTAAGAAAAAAAAGAAAAAAGAAAAAAAAGAAAAAAGAAAAAAAAGAAAAAAAAGAAAAAATTCAACAAATCCAAGAGCTGGTTCTTTGAAAAGGTAAAGAAAATTGACAAACCTTTAACCAGACACATCAAGAAAAAAGAGAAAGGACCCAAGTAAATAAAATCAGAAAGGAAAGAGGAAAATAACAACTGACAAAAAAGAAATACAAAGGATTGTAAGAAAATATTATGAACAACTATATGCCAAGACACTGGACAACTTTGACAAAATGGACATTGATGAAATGGATAAATTCCTAGAAACACATAATCTTCCAAAACTAAATCAAGAAGAATCAGAGAATCTGAATAGAAAGTGTACACCTAGTGAAATTGAGGCAGTAATAAAAAACAACAACAACAACAACAAAAACTCCCAACAAACAAAAGCCCCGGACTGAATGGCTTCACAGGTGAATTTTACCAAACATATTGAGAAAAACTAAAACCTCTCCTTCTCAATTTACTTCATAAAATTCAGGAGTTTTATGTGTTTGGGAGGGAAGTCTTCCAAACTCATTTTACAAGGCCAGCTTTATCCTAATTCCAAAACCAGATAAACACACTACAAAGAATGAAAATTATAGGCCAATATCCCTGATGAACAGATTCTAACCTCCTCAACAAAATATTAGCAATGCATCAAAAAGATCATACACCATGATCAAGTGGGATTTATTCTGGGAATCCAAGGTTTTTACATTTGCAAATCAATAAATGTGATTCAACTCATAAACAAAATAAAGGATAAAAACTACATGATCATATCAATAAATGCAGAGAAAAACTTTTGATAAAATCCAGCACCCATGTATGATAAACATTCTTAGCAAAGTGGGAATAGAGGAAAATACCTAAACATAATAAATGCCATATGACAAACACACTGCCAGTGTCATACTCAATGGGCAAAAACTACAGGAGTTACCCTTAAGATCAGGAACAAGACAAGTGCCCACTTTCACCTCTCTTATTTAGCATAGTACTAGAAGTCCTAGCCACAACAATCAGACAAGAAGAAGAAAAAAAAAGACATCTAAGTTGGAAGGGAAGAAGTAATACTGACTTTATTACAGATGTCATGATATTGTACATTGATAATCCCAAAGATTCCACCAAGAAACTATTAGAACTGATAAATGAATTCAACAAAGCAGGAGGATACAAAATTAGTATCCAGAGATCAGCTACATTTTTATTTGCCAACAATAAACTAACAGAAAGGGAAATTAAGGAAACAATCCCTTTCACAATTGTTTCAAAAAAGAATAAAATACCTAACCAAGGATGTAGAAGACCTGTACTTGGAAAATCATGACACTGAAGAAAGAAATTAAAGAAGATACAATTGGTGGAAGCACATACCATGTTCATGGGTAGGAAGAATTAACATCATTAAAATATCCATACCACACAAAACAATCTATAGACTCGATGCAATTCCTATCAAGATTCCAATGACATATTGCACAGAACTAGAGCATATATTTCAAAAATTTGTATGAAGCCATAAAAGGCCCTGTGTAGCAACAGTGATTCTAAGAAAGAATCATTCTACCTAATATCAAACTATAGTATAAAGCCATGGTAACCAAAACAGCATGGTACTGGCATAAAAGCAGATACATAGATCAATGGAACAAAATAGAGAGCCCAGAAATAATTCCACACTTTTATAGTCAATTAATATTAGAGGAAACAGGCACGTAAAATGGGCTAAAGATAGTTTATTCAATAAAAGGTGTTGGGAAAATTGGACAGATGTACAGAAAAATTAAACTAGACCATTTTCTTATACTACCCTCAAGAATAAATTCAAAACTGATCAAAGACTTTAATGTTAGACTTTAAACTATGAAAATCCTAGAAGAAACCATATCTTGGACATGGCTTGTAGCAATTTTTTATCACATGTATCTCCCATGCAAGGAAAAAAAAAACCATAATCAAATGGGACTAAAGACATCAGACTAAAAATTTTTCCACAGCAAAGGAAATCATCAATGAAATAAAAAATACAACCCACAGAATGGGAGAACATATTTGCTCATACATCTGATAAGGGGTTAACTTTATAAAGTACTTACAAAACACAACACCAAAAATCAAACAACACAATTAAAAAATGGGCAATTGATCTGAATAGACACTTATCCAACCAAACAGGACATAAAGATGGCCAATAGCCCTGGCTGGTGTGGCTCACTGGATTGAGCATAGGCCTGTGAACCAAACGGTCACATGTTCAATTCCCAGTTTAGGGCACATGCCTGGGTTGCAGGCCAGGACCCCCGCAGGGGGTGAGTGAGATGCAACCACACATTGACGTTTCTCTCCCTCTCTTTCTTTCCCCTTCCCCTCTCTAAAAAATAAATAAATAAATAAAATCTTTATTTAAAAAAAAGATGGCTAAAAGACATATGAAAAGATATTCAATGTCACTTATCATCAGAGAAATGCAATTTAAAACCACAGTGAAATACCATCTCATACCTGTCAGAATGACTATCATCAATAAATCAACAAACATGAAATGCTGGCAAGGATATGGAGACAGGGGAACCGTTTTACACTATTGGTTGGAATGCAGATTGGTATAGCCACTGTGGAAAGCTATGGAGATACATAAAAAAATTAAAAAGAATGTGCCTTTTGACCGAGCCAAACCACTTATGGGAATATATCTGAAGGAACCCAAAACACTAATTTGAAAAAAACTAAGTACCTTTATGTTCATTGAAGTGTTATTTACAACTGCCAAGATTTGGAAACAGCCCAAGTGTCCAACAATAAATGAGTGGATAAAACAACTATGACACATTTACACAATAGAATAGTACTTTGCCATAAAAAAAGAAGAAAATTTTACATTTTGTGACAGTATGGATAGACCTGGAGAACATTGTGCTAAGTGAAATAAGCTAGTCAGAGAAAGACGAATACCATATTATTTCACTGATATGTGAAATCTAATAAACAAACTGAACTAACAAGGAAAATGGGGACAGACTCACAGATAGCAGGTGACAGAAAAATGTGGGGGGTGGGTAGAAAGAAGAGGGATTGAGCAAAAAAAGAAAAATGACTCACTGATATGGACAACAGTGTGGTGATTGCTGGGGGAGTGGGGTATAAAGGGACTAAATGGTAATGGAAAAAATATAATGAAAATTAATTAAAAATAAAATGAAATAAAATGTAATGCATTCCAGATGGAATCCTGTAACTAAAGAAAAACATTAGAAGAAACCTAAGGAATCTGAATGAACTGTGGACTTTAATAAAAATATATCAGTATTTGTTTATATTACCTATGACAAATTTACTATGTAAATGTAAGATATTAATAACAGGGTAAACTGAGTGTGGAGTGTTGAAAATTCTTTGTATTTTCTTTTCAATTTTCTATAAATCTAAATTTGTTCTAATGTAACAAGTTTATTTTTAAAAAACTGAATAAAATGGTGATCGCCATGATTTTATATTGGTTTCTTTTTCTTTGATTTTTTACTTTTTCTCTCTCCTGAAGGAATGTGTTAGCTCCCTGTGAGTGAGAATTATTTCTTTATTATTCAGTGAGTTATATATTGACACAATCAGGTGATTGATAAATATATAGTGAATGAAATATTGAAACGCCCTCCCACCTCAAACTAGATTGCTCCCTTAGTCTAAGAAATAATTTTCTTACCTCTTGTAGATTTTGCCTCCTTATTTTTTCTTCTTCTTTCCAAATAATCTTCACAGTTTTTATATTCAGCTGCCAAACAGCTCTTGTACTAACTTCAGAGAGAAAGCTTTAGTTATCAGCCCTTGGCCTACTGGTTTTAAAATATACCCTTACTTTTTCCACAAAGAACATATGATTAGAGTTGAATTAACAGTAATCTGTATCGCCACCTACCATTGTGTATAGTTGTGTTGGGAAAATTCTTTGGGCTCTATATAGCTGGAGAATAGTGGAAATAGAATTCAACTAATGAAGTCTTGCTCCAGAGCTCAAATTTTAACAAGTACATGCCAATTACATGAAATAGTTTGGGGTTGATATTATTATAATAATCTTCTGAAAATACAAAGGGAATTAAAGTTCTTGGCTTTTTCTTTTTTATATTTTTTCCTTTGGGAATGTTACGTGTCTTGGGTATTGAAGGACTGTCTTGATTATTCAACTTTCTATTCTGATGTGAATCTTATGTGATGCCTACTGTCCATCGGTGTGTTTAAGTACTCTAAATTTGTAGTGCGATGTATATAAACAGAAAAATGATTTCTCTCCTATAGCTTTTGAAATAGAATTCTTAATGCCTGTCCTCTATCTGTTTCTCCATTGAGGGAAAATTCTTGGCTGTTTTCTTTTTCCTATCCAACTTTCCTTCACATTCTAAGTGTTTCTCGTGATTTTTTTAGCCCCTCATCTCCAGAGAATTTGGATTCACATGAAATACGATTTGCACATCGTGTCTTCGTTTTATAACTCAGTGGAGAGTACTTCCCTCTGTTTTCACGGAGAGCCTTGTCTTGAGTCTAGCCCCACTGTGGCTCCCGGGCCCAGCCAGCATCAACCCCTTCCTATGTCCTTTATATCATGGTGGATTTCTGCTGCTGTTGCTAGTCTACACATTGCCTCATTCCTCTGTTTAGATGTTCTCCAAATTCTTGATTAAATCCTCTGCTTGAAATAACCAAAAATAGTTCCTATTATCTAGACCTTGACAATCACAGCTACTTATCTGTATTTCGAGTTTTCCTGGGCTCTTAATAAATGCCGTTGTAATTTTCATTGTAGAAGCCAAGTAAATATTTGTTCATAAGAATAATAAATTGGATGAGAAAAGATTATAAGAATAGATTAATTATTCACTACAGAGACCATAAAATAGTAAGCCCTTAACTGGAGAAAGAACATCTCTGTCCAAAACTATATGTCAAA